TTATGTTTGAAAACGAATGAGAGGTTTATTAGAAGTATATAAATAGATTTATTATTTTTGACATTGCAATTTGATATCTATGAATATATTTTGAAATTAAACAGCATGTTAACTTTCAGACTGTACTGTAACAAGTAAAATTTGTGGCATATTTGCCATATAATGTTACTTTCTCTAATTGGATTAAGCAATATATTTCTAAATGGTAGCTTAAAATTGTTTTGTAATTTATTATAAAAAAAAAACTATAAATTTACTATTTCATATGGCTTATATAAATGTATCGAACATTTAATCGTGTCTTTTTCCGATTTGTTTTTGGGGTAAACTATAATCGTCTTACTTGGCGAGTAAAGGATTGGATGGAAAGATTGTACATTTCTGTGTGGAACATTTATTGTCGATGTATAAACCTTTTATTTCAAGTTTTTGAGTGGTATGTAACTATGGCGATAGTAGTAAAAGTTTTATGTTCAAAGTATCGCGCGACATTGCTATAAAAGTCGCGCGTCGTCGTGTTAAATTGCGAGCACCAGACGGGAATGATTCTATGACCGGGCTTCAATACGTTGGCGGAGGTTCAAACAATATCACTGAAAACAATACCAACCTTTATTTAGACTACAATATATTCTTATTATGAAAATGGAAGTAGTGGTAAGCTGAAAAATTTATACTGTTACTTAAAACAAATAAAAAAAAATATCAAGCTTGATATGTTTTTTAATACACACATTTTGTGATGTTTATAGCCATCTAAGTTACGTGCAGCGGCTTAAATATAGAAAATAGAATCCAATATAGTTGCAGAACAGAGCAGAGTTACTCCTTAGTGAACATATTAATCACCGTTAAATTATATATACCGTCATATAAACTATATATTAGGCTTCATAACTGACAGAGAAGCTCAGGAATACTTAGAGTGTGGCCCCAAATAGCCAGAAAATAATTTGAAGGAGGTGATGGAACGGTATCTAATTTATATGTTATTTTTTCATTCGTGCCTTGTGGAGCCAATAGAGAATAGAGAAAGATTCTAATTCGTACTTAACAAATAAACATATACATTAATTATACATTTTGTTAGTAAATTAGATTTCGTAGACTAGCTTATAAAACAAATACAAATAAAACAACGAGTTTTAGTCGTTCCACAGGTAGTAATAGTATTTGTACATAACTAAAAGACACTCAGACTGTTAAATGACTGTTTGGAATGATAGTAATAAACACACTCTAGTTAAACATAATATGAGAACGTAGTCTGAATACTAAATCGGGGGATATATTAGGCGGGTCAAAGCGATGGTATAGGCGTGTTTGTAGTACGAGATACTAGGTATTAGATATGTCGATAATTTATATTCCAGACACGTCACTATGCCTAGTTAGTAGTTTCTAAAAAAATGTCTGCTTCATCAAACTGATGAGTTGATAAAGTAAATAAATTGTAATTAGCGATTGCTGTTATAGATTTCCTTGCATGTAATTGGAATGGCAAACAAGATGACCGACCAGATGGTAAATGATAAACAAGGCCTACGTCATGAATAGTTCTACGGGTATCTCGTTACCACGTGACGCCCGCAATACTGTTCAAGCGTTGCCATTCAAGAAGACTAAGATGTCACGACTTTTATTTGTAGTTTCAATGCTTTGTCTCAACTTTTAACTGAATTATATTGTTTAAAAAGCCGCAGAGACGCTTGGTGCTTTTTACAAGCTATCTGTTGTTACTTTTTTAACAATTGTATATAAATAAAAGTGCACTTAATTAATAATTGAATATAAAAAAGTAAACTATTTATATCAAAGAGAGTTAAGGCTAGACCTATGTTTTATTTATTATTATATTTATATTTGGGCCTAGTTCATCGTTAATTATATTGTTGTATATTCCAGGAACAATGTGGGCATCACCACTTCAGATTACGATCATTACAATATTTTATTATTGTTACATATGCTATAATACAAATATACTTGCTTTTTCTACGTTTCTTAATTGATTTATAGTATAATTTTTTAGGTTATGGGCCCATCATCATCAAACACGTTTAATCTTTCGAATTTTAAACTTACGCAACCAAAACTGCCCAATACTGTGTCATTAATATGTAATTATTAGCAAGTATAATGAAACTATATGAACCATAATTAGAAAAAAAACCGTTTGATTAGCACGTAACAACTAATATTTGAACATCATTAGTTTTGTAACTAATTCATGTAAAGCGAGAACACAGCAATAAACAATTTTGATATACAAAGCAATTACAATTAGGTAACACAACCAGTCATTGTTGTATTTGATGTTTATTAAGAAATTAAACATTAGACAGTCATTGCAATGACGTGATGCATGTTGTTTGTATAATAGTGAAGTTCATTCATAATTGCATACTGTTATTTAGCATGACGAATAAATGTATTATGTGAATATAATAGTGCTAGTGAATGTTGATTACTATTTATACATATAGTAATATCGTTGCGATTGTGTAATATTAGAAATTGGTTTCGGTGAGAATTTTTTACGTTAGATATACCGAGTATGTATGGGATTGTATTAAATTGCACTTTATTAAATTTTTACACTGAGTATTTTTTGTACTATCATTAATAGAAATCATTAGATACTAATCGATTAGAGTCGATAGTATGTGCTCTTAGGTATAAAGAAGTAAAAAAGTGAGGATGATTTTTTTTATTGGATCATGATGATGATAACCTTAGTCGAAAACTTGTGTTCGTTGTCAGTATTCTTAGAAAACAACAAATAGATTGGAAGAAATATTAATGGTATCTATGTTAATCGAGGAATACTTGTTCTCAGAAACATAATATCCGGATTGTTCAGAGAGACAATTTTAACTGAAGTCTTATAATTCGTAGTATATTTTAGAATATCCTTGCCGAAAAACAACTGAAAATACGGAAATTGGGACAAAAATAAACCAGGTAATATTTATTGAGAGCTCAACGTTCAAAAGTTCGCAAAGTTTGCAGAAAGGGTGTCAAAATTTATATTTGGAGATATCAAAAAGAGTTCCTTCTTGGAAAGATGAGAAGCCGATGATGGGAGTTGGAGGGTGAAGTTGCGAACAAACTAAGCTAGTTTCGGGCGCGATCCGTACAACTTTCCACATAAATCGGGCTTCGTTAATAATTTACCCATTTGGAATTCGGATACGAAGCGATTTTCAAGTGAGACACATAAAAAAAGTTGACGGCTGCCATGTACATTGTGCGTACCTGCTTAATACCGCTGTGTGACATAGTGTTTTATTTTAACAATTAGATGAAAAGTATCGTATGATGACATGTTAATGTATTATTGAGAGGATTGCAAAATTTTTACGAGTATTCCAATTTATGACTTTTATATTTATTTGATTCAAATTGGAAAGATGAACAAAGAGGAAAAATGTTTTGGCAATAAGTGACGTAATTTTATAGGGATGTATTGGTAAAAATAAAAATAACCGCAAATTCCGTCAATCACGAAAGTTTACACAAGGATAACTGTCGAACTTTAACGCGATATCGAGGAATGAAATAAACAAAGGTCCGCTCGTAAATTTCTTGCTTACGAGGAGCTTGTTTACGAGGTGTTTCTTGTTGTTCCCAGTCCGTTTATGTTTGTATCGACAATCGAGGTTTCGTTTATGGTAATGAAGGCTCTGATGGTAATGTAAGTGGCTGCAAAAACAAAACTAGAAATCATGGTTGGACCATTTTTATTGTCTTATACTGTAATACTTAAGCTTTGTTGTGAAAATATCGCTGACCCTAGCCACAATAACATTTGAATAACATACCGAACACAAGTGTAGGCAACTTGATTCAATATTCAAATGGTGACCTAGGAATTCCCTAAGCTAACATGAATGTACATGTATAACAAAACCGATAACTGAAGGACCTAATACATATAGTTTTTGCAGCTGTTTATAGGATGTATTAACATACATCTACGCATGTAAGAAAGAAATATGAAAACATCATGTGAGCATCGATTTGTATTGACTCACTAGAAAAGCCTACGCAGACTATTTATTATAAATTTCAATTAAGATAGCAGAATATAAACAACATTTACTTTTATATCTTAACATAGAATAAAATCGCAAATACGTGACAAGGCGAAAATTGTTTGGATGTTTTTTGGTCCACTGAGGTCCAATTTGGATGAATTTTTACAGTAAATATGTGTCAATATATAGGCAAAAACAGCTGAAAAAATCATACTAAAATATATATGTTTAGACAATTTTTCAATATGCCAAAACTATTTATTAATTATTTGTAAAATAAAATATTTGATAGCGTCTTCTAGATGGTTTTCAACTGTCGTTTGATATCATCAATAAATGCGACTCAACTAGTTAGTTAAAAAGGATCATTAAGTCTTTAACTTAATGATCCTTTTTACTTATAAGATAGACTAGTACTCTTCTAAAATTTATGAATGTAAGGCAATGTAAGCATATATATAGGTATGTCATGTAATTAATTCTATATTAACTCACCCTTTGAGTCTAGTAAGCCTCTTTCAAATTTCATTAAAAATTCCTTTACTTACAGAGTAGTCTGGACAAAGTTCTTGTACAAGCGACAAGACCGCCTGTGTAATGATAGTTTGTTCATAGTTTCATTAAATGAACTATTATTATAGGTATTAATTTTACACTTTTTTGTAATTCTATATTCTTGAATATAGATAATATAATTATAGTTCATTACACTACACCGTTACTATATTAATATAGGTTAATAAATTAATTGCAGATGAAATATTTCTAATTTTTTGCTGTTGGAAACCTAGTATGAAACTTGTTTTTAATTAACTGCAAAAACAGGTCTCGTTATTCGACATATATTTCTCCACTTCGATATATCTATCGAGATAGGCTGACGACTAACATGATCTTTTGCCTGTGATTCCATTTTCTTTCCTACATCTATAATAATACAGACCGTATTTTCTTTTGCAGGCACAATGTGGACACTTCTTCTTCTCTTCATGGTTCCCGTGTTTGGACAACAACAGTGGGTGCCGTGTTCCGAACTGAACGATGACCTTCGGTACCCTTGCCGGTGTCGGGTGCAAGTTGACCGGGCGCTCCATCTTACAATCCTGATGAACTGCGACCACGTGGTCTTCGGTGGTGACTTCCCACCGTTGCCTTATGGTGCTCCCATCATGTCTTTTAGCCAAAGACGGGCCGGCCACCAGACATTACCGACACAGGTCAGTTGATTTATTTTATTAATCTGTTACAATCATAAAAACAATAAGACGGATGTTATGTCATCCTTAATTTGCAATTTTACTGTCAGATACGATATCTGATACCGGAGTACAACTTATAAAACAAGGTGTTTTTTTTTCGGACTACTCTAATGGTATTGGTCGCAGTTTGCCTTTACAGCTTCACCGGACGACAGGGGGCGAGTGTAGACGGCATTCCAAATCCGTGGAAGGACTTATGGAGCTGCTGAAAGCCAACTCCCGTCTGACAGATACGACTTTAGCCATTGTACGATGTTTTTTTTTTCTCTTCAATTGTGTCCTTTTATTTATAATATTATTGTACAATAAAGTATTACAAACAAACAAAACAAACAAACTTTAGTCTCCGGGCATGGCTAGGGGTTCGAACCTCGGCTCAGGCAGTCGTAATTTCGATCCCGTTTGAATTGTACAGGGGATCGATCGGAGGGGATGGCTGCTTGTTAATAGAACCTGGGACCAAGATACTTATATAGATAGATTAGACTTATAATGTTACTTAGATATAATCTAAGTGATATTTTTCTAACAATTATTTACACCGAAGTTTTTACTAAGTGTCCCTAGAAAATAGATAGTAACAAACAGAAGTATTTATGGTTTATTCTTAGTCTTTTACACCTACGTACACTACTCATTTCAAATGTTAAATTAGGGCAAGTTCATTAATCAATGATAGTTGTTAAGCTTAGTAACAGCGGCTGAAACCAAACCACAAGCCACAGCAGTATTTCGGAGATAGTGTGGTTGAACAAAAACCACCTACAATTTATCTAAAGCCACAACATTGAGTGACTTGCGCAAATATTGACGTCCTCTGTAACAAAATAACTTCTTGTACTATATAACTCAATATAATGTAAATTTTCGTCACATTTTTAATTGTTTTCTTTATTTGAGATCTCTTTAATACAAACTTATTCATGTATAATAATAAGATTATACATGAATAAGTTTGTATAAAAATAAATAATCGTTCTAAATTAAGTTGTATTTAATTATTTTTGCCACAATGCTATGTTAACATTTTCAACATTTGCAAATTTTTATATTACGGATTTTAATTTTTTTTTATATTAACTAATATTACTTACTGCAATATTTATGCAAAGTGGACTATATATTAACTCTTTGTTTTACGAGATTGTACATTTCGCTATGGAAAAAAATTGCGTAGAATTAAAAAAATAACGGGAAAAAGCTCTAAAGCATTCTTATCTTAATCGTAATTGATCTGTAGGATTATGGAATAATGGATTTGGACAGTATTTTAGTAAAGTAATGAAAGCGAGTTGTTTATTTATCGATTATTATCACATTAAAATTAGGAACAGAAGAGTCTTTAAATTTTTTTATTTTTTTTTTCAAGGTTTTGTATATACTGGTATATGACTAATGCAAACAAACATACTAAGAGTTATGATGATTAAGTATTTTGATTTATTTTCTAATGTGATAAATGCCGCATGGTATTAAATCCGCCAAATGTATTGTATTGTGTGCATGGAAGTTAAATAAATAAATAATTTCAATAAAACATATGTTTAGTGTACACAAAATAAATAAGCCGATTTATTATTAGAAAATAATTAGACGATAAAATAATTTGCTCAGAAAATAGAGATAAATATGATATTAGAATGGCATAGATTTCACGAGCTGAACACGCTATCTTCGTGATCTGATAACTACGCCCCGATGGACGGAATAATCACTTGATTGTGTAGCTTGATGCTTATTAAAACTGTAGATAGGAATATGACAGTGTTTAACTTAGTATATAACTTAATAGAAACAGAAATAATCTTTACTAAAATAAATATATGCACTTTTGAATAAACATATTTTTTTATTCTACCACTCATTCGGAACGCAGGTTCATAATAAGAGTGAGCAAGAAACGTTGTGTGTTGCTCATTTGAATAAATGTTTTTGAAAATAAATAATTCTACAATAATTAGGCGATAATCAACATAGAAACAACTACGCACTCATTCTTAGTGCAATTAGATAATATTGTCAACGTTATGAATCTTAAGTTTTTACAATAAAAACATTATTATCGTTAACGAATCAGCAATCATTGTATAATCAGCTTTTTACAGAGGAAGAGTTTATACAATATTTGAATCTTTTTGCAGGCAGATTTAGAACGCACTTTGGCATTTTGTTGTAAAACCTTACCATAAAACGAATTATTAACTTTAGATAAACGGCATTTAGGTAAAATCATTTTGTTATTATTACGTAATCTTTTAAGTGTATTCACTAACTTTTTTGAAACACTCTATATATTTCTTGGCATACCTACATGATATATTCGTAAATGTAATTTAAGTATTCAATATAAAGCATAAAATCTAATTTTAATGTGACAAGTTATAATAACAAACAGTGATGTTAGTATAATTGATTCGCAATTAACTAATGTAGATTTGAGACCATATTCAATTATAAATTAGAAATACTTATTATTTTAAAATCCAGTTTCTGAATATTTATATGTTTATTTTAAATAACAAAATATTAAACAAAACTCGTATAAAATTTGCAAAATTGATGGACTAAGAATAGACGAGGTCATCAAAAGTTTTACTTGAATCGTTGAACAAAGTCGTGGGTGGATTTGAAATAAAATGATAAAATATTTCCAGTATAAAGTCCAAGAGAAAAAAATATACAATTAAAATGAAAATATAGAAAATTTATGAGAACACTCTTGTATAAACAATAGAGTATGCTTTTTGGATTTATGTATGTGTGCTGCTATATTATATATTTTTATAGACAAATTCTAACTTAAAATTGACAATATTATCTGATTGCACAGATATTGCGTGCGTAGCGGTTATTACGCTGATAATCGCATACTACTTTTTTTATTATTTATCGGACGGAGTAACTGAAAAATCCATATTGGTTATCTATTTTAAATGTATAAAGCGTACACAGACGTAATAAATAGTACGATAAAATTTTCAAAGTGATGATTGAATTATTATCTGTTCTGTACTTTTTACTTTGAAACTATCTTGAGGTAATGATTAATATAAATCAAAAATTAAAAATAACTGTAACTTTTCTCGTCGATCTGTTATAAACTTAGAATATAATTAATTAACCGAACTCTCCTGAAAAATAAACTACATAAATTATCTTAAATTTTTCAACTCTAGCTCAAGAAAATCTTGAGATATTATCCAGATTCAAAGTTTAAAAGTACTTGTATCTTCTCCAATGTTATTATAAATTAAAAACAGCAGCAATATTTGTATTCTATTTAATGTTCTTTATAAAACTACTAAATTATTCTACTAAAGTCATTTGTGTGAGATATTTAGTAATATTTTAGGTTTATATTATTAATGTTTTAGGATACTAATGATCGTAATTGGCAATCGATATTTGATTAAATTATGAAATTCTTTTGCCTTGATCAATTATAATCTGTCTTAAACATGTCGTTTACACAGATTATAATTAAGGGATATCAATTAAGCATACAGGAAAAAACACACCGCTCACTTAGTGATAGAACTGTCAAAGTCTGTTCACACCTATACTCATTTCTAGTTCAACTATGAACATAGTCACGGAATTTCATTTCATCTGGTATATACGAGTACAATAATAAAGTTGGAAACAATCATTGAATTTTACAAACCAATGTGTTGGTATGTTCGAAGCGGATCAGCATTTATCGGCTCATTTGTTTTGTCCGGCAACGATATCGGTTGTGCAAAACATTTGTAATGATTCCACGCGGTACACATTCAGTTGAAACAATAATTCATTTTCGATATACAAGCATTGAACGGTTTTGGGAAAAGTTTTGTAATTCTACATGTACTATATAGTATAATGTCTGACGTTATAGAAAATATTAGTGATCATATTTTTAATCAATTGTCTACTGTATAATAATTGTCTAAAAACTTTTTCTTTAATTCGTATATTAGTAGTGGATAATCTTAACTAATACTTGACCGATAAAAAAAACTTTGAATTTGAATTTGAATACTTGACCGATAAAAAAACATTTATAGTAAGTTACATTATCCATTATGTGAGAAGTTATATAGCTGGTTAGTTATAAATAGCGGGAAAATTGAGTAGGCTCCAAATATTTAAGTTTTGTAAAAAATGATATATACTATGTATTTTGATATTGAAAATCATTTAGTTTAGAGAATACTAAAACTTAATTAATAGTATAAAAAGTGTATAGTAACATTAAACTAAAACTTAATCCTTGTTATATGTCAATGTTTAAACATAGAATAAGACTTGCAGTTCCATTACAAGTACAAGACATAGCCTCAAGAACTAGTAATTTAGTTCTTTTCTTAAAGAAATTTTCAAGAGTGTACAATGTACAAGAGACGAAAAAGTGTGCATCGTATTTGTATTAGACCTCGAAAGTCAGATTAAAAGTAACGGTATCCTAATTACTAGTTTATTATAATATATTTATTTTAGTAAATATATTATACATTTTCATCATTTCATAATGGATAAATTTTAAAATACTTAACCAATTTCAAATGTTCTCACATAACACCACATGGGTTTATTATTGGTGTATTAATATATGTTTTATTATCTTACATATGTTTTACTATATATAGGTAGTATCTTGTTTTCTAAAATTATAGAAACCTGCAATAATTGATCTGAGGCGGGTAGTTACTTGGTAATATATTATATTCAAGTGTTGAATATTATATCATACATTATATACCAATTCGTCTTTAGCAGAACTACCGTTTGGCGGCCACTCCACTGAAGAACCTAGATAATGTATTCGAGATCATAAGTTTGCAAACTCTTGGGACACCGCACCAAGTTCAGTTTGAAGATTCGCACTATTCAAACTCAGATCAAGATCGACAACGGCAGTTTGATGAGGGAGTGTTGGGTCACATCATATACTATTGTGTATTCTGGGAGAGAAGGGTTCAGTTTCTTATCTGTAGTTTCACACAAATTCTGATTAAATTAGAAACATGTTACTTTTTCAAATGTCAAGTAGAGGGACAGATCCAATGATATGTTCTATTTGTCTCCTTTATCAGGACTGTTGAAGAAAATGGTGCTATGTTTTTCGAATGGTCGTATATTAGTTTTTGGTTAAAGTATACATATTTCCTTGTACATAAGTTGTAGTACCGAGGTTATTAGTTAGGTATATTTTATTACAATATATTTAAGGGAGTTAAATTAAATTAGGGGATAAAAGTTTGTATGAAAATATCCCATTTGAAGCTACAACTATGTTTTGTCTGAAATTATGGTTTAGTTTATTATACATTTTTTATGTATTTGGTCAAGATCACTATTCCAAGCAGATGAAATCCTCGGTATAGCTAGTTCTTATATATTTACAGTCTTGGTAATTAATATTGATACAGATAACATAATATTCTACTGATTAATTTAATTTGGTAGATGTATAAAAAATATACTATAGACGTACCTAAAAAATGCACTATTCAGGATTAAAGACATATATATAAATGCATATTCGTATGTAATTGGTCTACAACAATTTTCCTTTGGACATATTATGCGTCAAAGTAAGAACGTTAGGGCACGCAATGAACCTAATTAAGTAATGCCTTTTGCGGGATTTCAAAGGCCTTTGTGTTGAAACGTTACGGCGTACATTACAAGTAAAACGTAATAAACTAATTTTTTAATTCCAAGTTCTAAATACATTTTGGACGGACAGTCAGTTACATAACTACTAATAAAAAATTATATAAATTATTTTATTTCTAATAATGATATATTATAATAATATCATTCTTATTCATTCCATTTATGTCAAATATTGTTGTGTTAGAGATTTTTATGTATGATTTCCATCACTCTGTGTCCCGGATATGCTGACGGAATGTATTAGGAGTCTATATATCTTCTTCTCAGACTCCATTTGGTAGATATAATAATATTAATAGCGTTATTAAACACAGAGATTTCATCTAATCCCAAGCTAAGCATAGCTTGTGGTATGGGTGCTAGACTACTGATAGGTATATCTATCAGTAGTAAGTACATACATAGTATACTTACGTAACTAAAAAACTAAAATGCATATTTAAATTTTTCAGATATTTTCAACCTATGGCTTACCTCTTAAGGAGTTGGACTTTTCACACAATAGCCTTCGACGCCTTCCCGACCGTCTACTAGCCGGGATCCGAGGCAATCTTACCAAGTTGGTTCTTGCTGACAACCTCCTTGGGGATAATTTGAATCCCATATTCTCTACAGCCGAGCTCCATAATCTGCCAGCATTAGAAGAGCTGGATTTGAGTGGAAACAGCATTAGAGGAATAGAAGAAGGTTTGCTGATTGGTTGTGATCTTCTTAAGGTAATTTGAGTCTTATAAGTTACATTTTAGTATTCATTATCCTATATACTTAATGTACATAGTTTACAATTACAAGTCGCATAAAAAATAAATTCCGCTTAAGGCATTTCTTCTAATATTTTTATTATAGTGGAATCGTATTACTTTGTTTCAGATATTACGCTTGAACCGCAACAACATAAACTCCGTGCCTTCATCTTCTCTAAACGGCCCACAAGCATTACGGGTTATTTCTTTAAGAGAAAATAGAATAGGTAAGTTTTATATTATACCTTCCTTACTTCTATATTTTACGATCAAGTTTTGCCTATGAAAGTAATTTTGCTTATAAAGAGCGAGAGAATGAGAAAAAATGTACCAGCACTTGATGTAGAGTGTGAGTAGTATAGATGCTGTCCCGACATGTTTCCAATCACATTACTTACTTCTTATATTTTTCATTCAGGTGTCTTGGTATACATACGAGTACATAGGTACTGCTTATATGTACTTAATGGGAATGACGAAATTAATAAATTAGATTTTGACAAAATGGCATATCACTTTAATACATTGAAGTATGAACGTGAGTTATCACAGACATCGTAATATTTTTTGTCGCATTCATCTATGGGTGATGGCTACTTTCTACAATTTAAACCACTTAATAAATAAAACTAGTATACGATGTAGGTAATACACATAAATTAAAGTTGACGCTACTAATAGCGTCAAATTTAATTTATGCGTATAATAGCAAGTGAGTACTTAGATTTAACTTAGGTAACATTTTAAAACTGTCATAATACATCGTTGTCAAAATAGTTACATGTTATTTACACAGGGGGTATCTGGGACAGGTATAATCAAATTTTATGAGTAAAATATAATTTACTGTGATAAATGTTTTCGGTCTCGCTACTTTAAATAATTAATGAAATTGGTAGTGAATAGTTGTGTTTGTTTTAATATTTTCATCTGTATAGAAAATACAATTTAATGTAATTTATATGAAATGCAAAACGGAATAAAAATGGTTTGTAATGAAGATAAATATACCTTATAAATCCGACAAGTAAGTATGGGCTTTAAAAATCTTGGAAAATGGAATGACGGATACTGCGACATGGTTTTACGTCATTTAATCTACTATTAAGAATTTATGAGGTGTATCGTCATACTACTAGTATCAGGTTTGACGTTTATGAAGAAACATATTTGGTTCGCGTATTAATCTACATCATCTGTAATAGGTATATCCAGAATGACTGAATTTTGAAATAGATATTTTAAATATATTTTCTTACCGTTTTACAGTTTCAATTCGACAAGCATCTTTCATATCACAGAAGACTTTAGAAGAGATCGACTTACATGGAAACATGATATCTGTCATTGAAGGCGGAGCGTTTATAGGCTTAAGTGCACTACAAAGCCTCGATCTCGGTCGGAACAGACTCTCCAAGTTCAACAGCGACGTCTTCCAAGGCATCGAGAACCTCGAAAAGTTGGACCTCTCTGAAAACTTTATAACCGATTTTCCGACCGTTGCTATGAAATCATTTGTCGGTCTCGGATCTTTGAATCTTTCCAGCAATATGATCACTGTAAGTTTCTGCAAACTTTTTAATTTAATACCATTCAATTAGGAATGACAAGCGGAAGTGATTTGAGTTGATCCGTTGTCAGTAAAGAGTTATCGGAAAAGCAATTACAATCGTTTTCATTAATTCCAAATTCATTATATAAATTTGTCTGTGATTTTTACTGAAAAAATAATAATATTGTGTATGTTGAATGTCAGTGAGGAGAATTCTTTTATACATAAGTTGTTTACACTAAATGTGTAAACAACATATGTACAAAAGAATTATTATACATATTAAAACGAAACTAGAATTAGTATAATAGGGTACCTATACAATGATTTTGGCTAGTAATTGTTCTGTGATTTATTATTTCATAAATATACAATGTTATATATATTATTATTATTATAAGTTTTATAGTATTATACATAGCCTGCAGTACTAAGTAAACATATATATGTAACATGGTTCCTCAAAACTGTACACATGTTTAATTTTGAAAAATATACTTACACATTAGTGCCCGTGACTGACCCGACTCTTTTTACTTTATAATTTTTGTAATAATATATTTTTTGTTAATTTCAGAATATCGATAACAGCCACCTCAGTTCTTTGGTTTCTTTACAAATGCTCGATCTTAGTAGAAACAATCTCATTAAATTATCACCAGGAACCTTTGTAGGCCTTACTGATTTGCTGTATTTAGACATTGGAGTTAATTCTCTTCGAACTGTAAGTAATTATATATGAATATTTTTATCTCAGTATTTTCTAATCATTACATACTATAAAATAAAGTCGCTGTCGCTGTCCCTATGTATGCTTAAATCTTTAAAACTACGCAACGGATTTTGAGACGGTTTTTATTTAATAGATTCCAGAGGAAGGTTTATATATATAATACATATACACCCGGGCGAAGCCGGGGCGAGTAGCTAGTAAAATAATAATTAGTAAATTAAAGATGGTAAAGTAATGTTAAAGAGTGATTTTTTTTCTTTCAGGTCGAGGATGATGCGTTTGATGGATTAACTAGTCTTCGAACATTGCTTTTACGTGACAATAATATACTTTTGATACCGGCTACGGCTTTATCACGACTACCAAACTTGATCTCTGTACATTTAGGTTACAACAGAGTGACAGCTTTATCAAGTGATATTCTAAGAGCTGTATCAGACAGAGTAACATCATTGGTACTATCACGAAATGTAATCAGGGAACTTCCATCTGCGGCTTTCGATCATTTTAAGACACTGCACCATTTGGATTTATCAGGCAATTTGTTAAACTCAATCGCAGCTGAAGTTTTTAGCGGACTTGAGACGACTCTTCAATTTTTATCTCTAAGCCAAAATAGGATATTAGGATTCACTGGACAACAATTGAAGTTCGTAAGCCTTTGGTTTTTGGATATATCAGATAACCAAATTTCAGAAATACCGATTAACGCCTTCGAATCTATTCCAAGTTTATTGCATTTAAATATGAGTCATAATGATCATATTAGTACTCTTCCTCAGAATGTATTTGAAAATAATCAAGGTCTAATGACCATAGATATGAGTTATATTGGTTTAAAGGCACTTCCTGTGAAATTGTTTTCGAAAACACTTAACTTGGAGCATATTTACTTATCACATAATAACTTGCAGGAAATTACCGAACACACCTTTAAGAATCTTAAAAACTTAACTGTTTTAGATCTTTCGTATAACAATATTGTTAGTATAAGGGCTCCGGCATTTGTTAATGTAATGTCTATACAATATTTGTCTTTAAAAGGAAATCAATTGAATGCTTTTAAAGGCGAGTTCTTCAATACTGGCACCAGTTTAGAAGTTATGGATTTGTCAGACAATCAATTAAGTTATTTGTTCCCATCGTCATTCAAAATACACCCACGTCTCAGAGAAATTATATTGACTAATAATAAATTTAATTTCTTCCCGTCAGAACTTATAAGTACATTACAATATCTTGAATTAGTCGATTTATCAGGCAATGCTTTGAAAAACGTTGATGAACTAGATTTTGCTCGACTTCCGAAATTAAGAACTTTATTACTAGCAAGAAATGATTTGGATACAATAAGTGAAATGGCGTTCCACAATTCAACACAAATACAACATTTAGACTTATCTAATAATAAAATAGATCGTTTGGGAGATAGACTATTCGAGGGACTTATTAGGTTAGAACTTTTGAACTTGGATGGAAATTTATTAACAGAATTATCTGACAATATTTTTGATCGGAGCAGGCTACATATGTTAGAAAAAATTATATTGAGCAACAATATCTTTGAACATCCACCATTAAAAGCTTTACAAAAACAATACTTCTTTGTTTCTTCCGTAGATTTGTCCAATAATGAAATAGTTGATGTACCAGCAGAAGACAGTGTTATGGTAAATATTAAGAAACTAGATTTATCTTTTAACCCACTTTCAGAAAAAACCTTGAATAATATTCTGACTGAACCAAAAACTGTTAGAGAACTAAATTTAGCAGGAACTGGAATTAGATCAGTAGGCCAACTAGAAACGCCGTTTTTGCATAGTTTAAATTTATCATTCAATAATATCACGTCACTTTCGGATAAAACATTTGCTAGAACAACTTTATTAGAATCAGTAGATCTCTCAAATAATCAAATATCTGATGTGTCTGGTTCATTAGCTAATTCTTGGCCTAAACTTAAAAATCTTCAAAGATTAAATATTTCCAGTAATCCTATAATTAAAATTACAGAAGGCAATTTTGATGGTCTTTCCTCTCTTCGAGTATTGGACATAAGAGATTTAGATAAATGTACTCGAATAGAGAAAAACGCTTTTAGAAGTCTATCAAATCTTATAGAACTCAGAGCTTATGGATATCCAAGGCTTGGATACTTTGATGTTCAAGGAACTCTTCAATACTTACTTGCCCTAGAAAAATTAGATGTAGAGTTAAAAGATACGTCTATTGGTGCAGATCAATTACATTCCACTTTACACCCACGTCTTGAAGAGTTAGGTGTTAGAGGCTCTCGTTTAAAAACAGTTTCTTCTGGAGTGTTAGCTGGTTTGAAAGCTCCCGCCATAACAGTGCGGTTTCGTAATACATCCGTAACAACTTTACCACCAGCATTGCTATTTCCTCTACCCAGATCATCTCAGATTGTAATAGATATTGCTGGTAGCCAGTTGTCAACTCTTCAACCCCAGTTGTTAGTAGCGCTCGATGATCGTCGTGCAGACTTATCAATGTTTGGCCTAGAAACGAACCCAATAAGGTGTGATTGCAATGCTCGAGCATTACGAAGATGGTTGCCAAACGTTGGTATAGATGATGTTCGTTGTGATTCTCCGGATCATTTGTCAGGGTTTCTATTAGTAGAAATTGGAGATGATGAGCTTTCTTGTGATACTAAACGAAGAACAACAATATTATCTTCATCATCTAGTATTTCAACTACAATACCACCTCGTTTAGTACACCGTACTTCAGCAGAGCCAGATATCATTTGGTCTGTTGCACCATCTCACGAACGACCGAAGGTTACAGGAGAGCCAAAAGGTGCACCAGTAGTTGGTGTAGCGTCATCGAATAATGACGATAATTTGATAATAGGTATAGTAGGTGGTGTAGTTGCATTTATAGCTATTTTAATTGTAGCGATATGTGTTGTTAGATTAAGAATGACAACAACATCATACAGAGGTGGTCCTTTAGCTAGTAGCCCGACAACTGGTGCTACTCCAATGTGGGGACCTCCGTGGCCAGGGTATGCCGCTACTTTGCCTCCTGCATCATTGTCTAATGCTACTTTGCCTCACAAGGTGCAACCGGGTCCAGGATCAGTGCGATACTTAGCACCACCACCACCGCCAGCTCCTTATTTTATTAGCATGCCACCACACGACGATAAAATATACCGGTAGGATATTTTACATTATATAATTTTAAATAGACTGCTAACGTATTATTAGTGCTATGCCATTGATCATGTAAATATTATAGTTGAGAAAGAATAATCATATCAATAATTAGGTTTCTCAGAAAACCACGTATTCACACGTTGTTCATATCGTTGTAGATATTTTAAATAAATAAATAATTTTGCAATAATATTTTATTGCTTATTAGTACATAAACAATTTTATATTTCATTAGATTTATTAATTCTCAGGCTAGATTTGATCAATCTAGTCACCAGTGGAAGTTTTCATAGATTTAAATATTATATAACGAACTCAAAGACATTTCATAAGCAATATAAAATAGTGTACATAAATAATAAAATATGCATTGTACTTTTTACAAAGGTGGTATGTTTGTTATTGGAAGTATTTATTTAACACTAATTATCTTTAAGTTTAGTCGTATGTTTGTGTAATTCTAATATTATTATTTAATTAAATATTTGTAAGCATATTTGCAGTTTAATTTGTGAATATTTTCAGAAAAAAATATTTTTATACTTATATTTAGTCAATAATTATAATGTAAGTATATAACTAGAGGAACTAAAAGTGGAATGTCCACATCGACTATCAGAGAGAGTTCCATGTTCCCACTTGGTGCCTTCGGGAGTCCGAGCTTCGTTTATCAAAGCAAACGGGATTAGGCAAAGCAGCCCTTCGAGCATGACTCTCATTAAGGCTCAAAAGGGAAGCTCCAACCCCCAAGGCTTGCTCTTTGAGTGTAGCAGTCTACTAACGCTCTGAGAAAACACAATCTTTTAATATTATTCTTCTTACATTATAAATTATCCACGCCACAGATTTAATCTTACATAGATAAAGACAAGAGATGAAATTATAATATTGTTTGTATTCTATCGTTTACGTACATCACTTTCCACATCGTATATTCTGAAAAAAATTACAGAAAAAAGTTACTCTTTGTGTGAATTTTGTATCACACACTGCGTTTGTTAAAGCTTTTGTTTATGATCACCAAATTTGCATAAAATCCGTACGCGTGTCACTTTTTTGGAAGAGCGTAAATGGAAATAGGTCTTGCAAACAATGTTTCCGAACGCGCTTTGTGAACGTATTTCAAAATTGAATTCTGCCAACCGTTGTTGTACAGGGTGATTTGAATGAAAGGTATTTATGCGCATCTATTGTGCCTATACGCAGTCGTGAATTCGTGTTTCAATTTTGGAATAAAATGCTACTAACGAATTTTTATTCAATTTTGCGGCATGTTCATTTAATAGTATTTGTTTTAAGGTTTCCTTCTTTTCAGTTTTAAATAGTTACCATCGACGAGCTTAATAGTTTCGCTTGTAATAATTATGTTCTACGTAATATATGATTTATGTTATGAGCGTATTATATAAACAGACATATTTGGTTTCAATAATAATCACCAAATGCAAAATTGACTAAGTGAGTAAGTGTCTTCTATGCGTGGATTTAAGATCTAAACGGGATCAATATTTTTTTTCAATCAAGGCAAAATAGACACTTCTCTATGTTTTGTGTGTTAGTCACTTATTAGTTTTGAGCTATTAGAAATCAGTGTTTTTATGGTAAGTTTTCTGTAACATGGTTTTATTTATATTTTATGTGTCGCTGTAATGATATAGGGAATCGGCACTGCTTATCTTAAAATACAGAATTTTTTCTTATTTAGGGAGCACGGTTTCATTTTATATTTTAAGAATAAAATGTAACATTTATACTTCTTTCAAAATTCCGCCAACTGAGTTTATACTTATACACAAAATGCGTAGCCTAGAATGTTCTTATTATCCCCTTGGTTTCTAAATCAATAAACCCTAATAGGTTTATTTATTATAAAGTAGTATGTCTGTAACTAATTTATAACCACTACTCACTCCATTGTTCTGCCTAATTCATTACATAGCAGACAACCGACACTCTGGAATTTCATTACAACTTTGTCACTGCTACGGTAATAAAGCAAACAGAACTTGCAGTAAGAAAACTATTCACTTTTAAATACTCACAAAAGAACATAAAACGGATGTTTCGGAAAGTGTTAGGGAGGTTTTACAGGCTCCTAAACTAGAAGTTGTCATCAGACTAGAGTGTCGCCAATTTATTACAAAGACAGCTTTATGGTGCTATTTTTCAACAATCCTACGCGTCACTGCACAGTTGCGTATGTAGTAGTGTAGCCAGGTGTTTGGAATCGCTTGGGACATTTGGACTTCCGATTATTCAGTTAGGGACTTATTACATTATCATATGTATTATACCAAAATAAAAAGTAATTATGCTACATTGTTTAAAATTTTTATAAGCATTTCTTCTCAATACTAATCGTAACTTTAGTACCACCGATAAGAAAAATAGGCAGAGTCCTAATTCGACGGTATTGCTGTTCCTGTGTATCTTATGTGCTACGGCTTTTACGGATTTAGTCTCATGCCGAAATTAGTATGCGGCCGCTCATTTTAAATTAGACACGATTGTTGCGACGATATTTAATTTGTGAAGCAAATTTTGAAAATATATTTTTTTATTATAACTTGAAAACGTTCAAGCCTAGTGGTTACTGTCCCGATTTACGGTAAAGTACAAATAAGGCCGAACCAAAAAGTTTATATTTTTTATGACTACGACAGATTTTTTTATATCTGACGTGATAAAAATACAAAAAGAAAATCCAAATTATTATGAGAGATGGCAAGTTAAAAAATACCAAACGAAATATATACTTCAAATGTTGCGTTCACCACATTTGACACGGCATTCACATTCGACAATGCCTCTGACTACCATCATCTGGGATAACAGTTGTGAACGTATACCTAAATCTAAAAAAAATCTATTTATTATATACATATACGTATGTATCTTATTTTGTATATTATGTCCTATAATTTAAAATATCACATATGGAAACAACATATAAGATAATCCTATAAATTCACTCTCATAGCATAACATTGTTTGAGAATTTCAATCCCTTTATGTCCTCATGACGAGAAAACGAACCAACGAAGCGTGTGCTGCGGAAGACGAATATAAATTATAATTTTATTATGCAGAGAATACTGCTGAACTTTATTTTGTACCGCCATATTTATCCTATTTCATATAAAGATACAATTGTTATAATAGATGTGGTTGTGGAAATGTAATGCCTATGGAGATTTTTAATAATAGGGACTGATTGTCACACAATTAGCAATGTAGTGTCATAAGGCCAACCTTCACACCATTCACTCACTGATGGATTCACCACGATAGGTCTAAATTAATACGTACACCTATCAGCCTCCTTCAATAGTACGCAGCTAGTGTATACTAATATATGTACTGTCAATAGCCAACTGCAGGGGGAAGGGTATTATTAGTTATAGAGACTAGGACTCTATTCCTAGTAATGTACCTTGTCAGATTGACCTCCACGCGGTCCCTCCCTGTTGAAATCTCCTGGAAACCAGGTGATTTGATTACTATGGGCTAAGCGAGCAGTCCTAATTCTCGTCTTATCTACACTGGTGCCCCGTTAGCGTATACCGTTAGTGCAGACGAGTGCACAATTCCATTGTCATCCATTAAAAAAAATAACCAACTGCAAAAGTACTTCTTACCTACTAGCCCCTAAGCAGCTTGCTTTATAAGACGTATTTCATTTGAAGAGCACTAAAGGCACTGAAATTAGAGTTTATGGCAGGATATAGAGGTACGACATCTTAGTTCTCCGAAATGTAACACTTGTTACGAAGTACAAGAAATATACGATCGAAAAGCGAACAAGCCCTGAAACATGTTATTACTTCTTTCAGAGGTTCTACAGTATATGAAAAGGTAGAAGAGAGCAGTTAATAATAAGATATAATAAAATACAATAAAGATAAGAATATTTATAAACAATTTGCAGTAAATGAATTAGAACAAGGGACACGTTGATAAGTGTTGAAAGCGAAAAGCGTGTCTTTAAATTTGCGATATAAAATGCAGAGTCAACTCTTGTAACGAGCTAAAAGCAAACCGCTATCGCGTGGGGCACTTGTAAAATGTACGATGTGTGTAAATGTACTCTGTGCTGATATTAACGTGTTTACGTATTACATGCTCGTTTTGTTAACGATATCAGTACTCGCAGCTTTGCTGTGGACACGATGTTCAAAATAATGTTTATTTACATTGAGATATTATTTATTAAGGCGCTAGAGAACACGCTATAATATCGCGATACACATCATAAATTGATTTTCGAAATTATTCAAATAATCATAATTTTTTGTAACAAGAATGACAATCCATTACGTTATCGTCATTTATAAACATGAACAGTGAAGATACGGATACCTTCTTCAACTGAAACTCAGCTTATAAAGCATTTTGCTTGATGGCTTAAATATCCACCCGAATTTGTTCAAAGTTTACCTGGTATATATTTTATTCAGACAATTTATTTTATTATCAAAGTACGTGATAATTAGATATGTCTAGCGGATTAACTGACCAATTTGTCTATCAATCATGTCAATCAATATAATTGTTTAGAACATAGGTAGCATCACTAATACCTCTTTTTCTATATACTTGGAGTAATAAACAAGGTGACGGCAAGTGGTAACCGGTATACATGAACAACAGTACGAACATCATACTATCATTAACACCCGCGATACCACTCATGCTTTACTATTCCCGGGGACTAAGATGTCATGTTTCTAATCCTGTAATTTCACTAACTTACAAAGTAAGCTGCTTGGCAGCTGAAATAAGTAAAAAGGAGGACTAATACAGACGGCCTTTCACAGTCTTTGGTAAATAAATCAAAGTTGAGACAACAAAAAAATATTTGGTATTATCTCAAAGAGTTTTACAAATACTCAGTCGTTGCCTACTTGCCATTTAATATCACCAATTATTTTCTATCACCACTATTACCTTCCTTAAAGCCCGCAACAGCACTCTAGAAAACTGAATCATCAAATCTAACGTATAATATAAAAATAACTTTATCATCATCAACATTTTATGAAGGTAAAAGCTCTTTTAAGTATATGGTAATATGCAAGATTAAATGCGCTGCGTTGCGGCAGATATATGTGGCGTGGGTATAGGGTAGGGCAGTGCTAAAGACTTATAAATAAAATATTATTTATTAAATAGCTGCTAAGTACAATAAAATTTATCGTTTGTTGTAGTTTTAATAAAAATATAAATTTGATAGTTGACAGTAGTTTTTAGAAGATTTGTGTGTGCAAAAATATTTTCTAGTTAATATTCTTCTATTTGAGCATAGTAAGCCACATTGAATTTTCATTAAAATTCCTTTACTTACAGAGTTGTCTGGACGAAGTTCTTTCACGAGCGACAAGACTGGCATAATAAAATAACAATTAACTTATAGTTTAATTGCAATGAGCCATCTTCCTTATGATAAGTATACACCATTGCCTATTATTTATTTATTCATAATAGTTTAATAGCAAATTTTTGC